AGAGAACAATCATGGGAGAAGGAAGGGCTGCTTATGCACAGGGAGACAGCTCAGCGAGCAGGAGAGTATGGAGGGATGGTCACTGGGAAGAGGTAACTATGGGGAGGAAGTAGGAGGGGAGCTGTTGCATTCTAAACTGTGGTCAATGACATGAGGCAAAGTATATGTGAACTACTGCATGGAAAGTGAATTCGCTCTGCAAATCTTCACCCAAATCACAATAAATAAAATAAAATTTTAAAACAAAAAGAACATAAGAAAAGAATAAGTGGAAGTTAAGGTTAAAAGGACAGAATCAAATCAGACTGTAACAAGTCTTGAAGACAGACTAAAAACAGTTGGTCTTTATTAAATGGGTAATGGGGAGAAATTGAAGGTTTCTAAGCAGGAAAGACCAAGAACAACAAAAAAAGCTCCAACTATGGTTAAAGATTAGCCAGATAATAAATACAGGGAAGATTAGATAAGAGCCTATTTTGTGGTTACTCAGACATGTCAAATGAAAATGCTTTTAAACATCTAGCCAGTATGCATGGTTTATAGAAATCTAACCCTCTTTTTTGGAGTACAACAAAAGTGATTGAGAAAACAGAATTGAATAGCGTTCTTAAGCTTAAACAGCTAATGATGGTGATGTTAAAACATCACCATCTTTTTCTGCTATATTTAAGTCTTAAATATAAGAGGACATTTTATTCCATATTATTAAAATGATGATTTACTAAATTTTTAATCAAATCACCAAGAAAAAGTAAATGAGTAATAAAAACAAGATCACTTTTATATCATATCTCTCTCTACATCCTGTTGAAGAGTTGAAAAGAGATATAACCCAAGTTAAGCAAAGCGGTCAGTACATCACCAACAAACTGGACTTTGTAATTCTTGTTTATAAAAGCTGAGTTATAGTGATCTTGACCATGTTTGAGGAGATTTAAAAGGAATTACTACAATTTAACAATTACCTGTTTAGAATCTGTGAAGGAAGCCTAAACCTTTCCAAAAAATCATTAGGATCCAAAAAAAGTGCTCAAAGGATGCTGAGAGTTTCACTAACTTATGATGAGCAGTTCTCAAAAAATTATGTATTGGAAAGTGCAATGAATCCACCCGGATTCCTCTCTTCACCTCCTCCTCTTTTTTGCTAACTCCCACTCAGACAAGTCTCATTTTAAATGCCATGTCCTGTGATACCTTCTTTGGCCAATGCTTTCGTAACTCTATTTGATAAGTCATAACACCACATTTGGTCCTCATATAACAATTCCCACTCTGAATCAGAACTGTCTATTTACCTAACTTTCTTTCCTAGTGTAAGCCATCTGAGGGTAGGGGCAGTGTCTTATTCACTACTGTGTCATCCAGCTTGATGCCTTAGCCAGAACAGAAACCGAACAACTTTGTCAAGTGAATGAATGTTTTATGAAAGGTACTTCATTCAATGTGGGCACATAGCAGTTTCGAAAACCTCAACAAAAAAAGTAACATACCTGTCTTTCCAACTCTTGTCCAGTAATGCCAGCCTCTACATGAGCCGTCAGATTATTCTCATCAACCCAGAGGATTCGATTCTGTTACAAAGGAAAAATGAAGTCTGATCTCCATGAACTACTAGCATGCATTTTTCTCAGGAAATATATGGCTTTATAACTCAAAGCATCAAGTGACAAAAATAGTAATTAAGCAAGTTTCCCCCAGCCACATTGGAAACCTCCACTTATCCCTAACTATACAATATGACATGATAAGAAAGGCAGTATATGTTAAAAATACAGGCTTTGTCTTCAATCAGATACTAATTTTAATTAAATGCTATCTCTAACTTTAGGCAAATTACTGAACTGTTTAGTGTTTCCTCATTTGTAAAATGTGGATAATAAAAATACCTATGCAGAGGCTTGCTGTTAGGATTAAATGAGATACTACACTTAAAAAGCTTAGCGTACAAAGGTCCTTAAATTCTACAAATACTATCTGCACTACTGTTAACATAGTTAGCAATCTTATCTAATTTAGAAACATCAGAAAGTAGCCATAAGATTAGAAAAGACCTGCAAAAACATTTGATTATCATAGTAAATGATAGCCTTACTTTATTTTCAATACAAAATGGAACCAGAGACCCCAAGTGAAAAACAAAATGTATCCAAGGATAAAGGTCCGAGGGCAAGAATGTATAGGACAGACAGACAAGGGAAATGGTAACCAGAGAGAGGAAGTGGGAAGAGTGCTGTTACACTGTATGGACTGCAATCAATGTTACACAACAAAATAGATATGAAATGTTGAATGGAAAACCAACTTGCTCTGTAAACCTTCACCCTAATCACAATGAAAACTTAAAAAAAAAAAAAAAAAAATCCCTGCCTCATGCTCAAAACAAGAAACTGAGTATCATCTGGTCCAACTTACCAAATGTTTGACTATCAACTAAAAAAATGTTTTTCAACATAGTTATTTTGCCTAATTTATATTATATATAAGAATCTTCATGAGTTACTTTCTACTTTCAAGAGCATACTCTTCCATACTTTCTGTCTGGCTGAGCAATCAAGTAACATACAGAATCTTCTTCTGGATTCCAAGGAAACTTTATTTGCACTTTGGTATGCTCAACTTCATGGTAATAACTAATGCAGATAAGTCTAGTTAGTAATAGAAAGGAAGAGACATAACAGATAATACAAAAATAGAGGTCTCTGATCAAACTACAAATTGGAACACATACATATACAGCACTACTTAATTCAAAAAGCTATGCCACACCTCACCACACCAGCTGTTATCAAATCAATTCTAACTCATGGCGACCTATGTGTATAATTGTGTAGAATTGTGCTCCACAGGGTTTTCAATGGCTGAATTTTCAGAAGTAGATTGCCAGACCTTTCCTCTAAGATGCCTCTAAATGGACTTGAACATTTAAACTTCTGGTTAGTACCCAAGCATGCTAACCTTTTGCAACACCCAGGGACTCCCACAGGGCTGTATTAACCACTACATGAGATGATGTATGTGAATGTATGTTTTGATTTATATTACATAAAACCATCTGTGATTGCTAATGTTATATGTCAACTTCGTTAGGCTATGATTCTCAGTGGTATGGCAGACACTATGTAATCACCTTCCATTTTGTGATATGATGTGAGCAGCCAATCAGTTGAAAGAGGAGTTTCTTTGAAGGCAGGGCTTCCCTTCAGCATATGAATGTATGTTCTGGCAATGCTCTCTCCTGCATACTTTTCATTGCCTGATCTCTGGTTCTCTGGACAAGAGTCAGCAGAAGCCTTCAGCCTGCCACCCGACCATGGATTAGGGGCTTGCCAGCCCCACCAAATACATAAGCCATTCCCAGGAAGTAAATATCTCTGTAAACCTACTCCACACTTATCAACATACCTGGGTTCCAAAAACCAGGTCATTGTGTGAAGTCAGCATTATGTGAAAGTCAGGGGCCACACTCCATCTTTGGCACTGGTGTTCCCCCTTAGTTGCTCACTGTCCATCAGGCGCCCCAGAGCATTTGAGAATGCACACAGTGCAATGGGGCCCCTTCTCCAACAGAGTAGAGCCCAGGAAGGTTGGGGATGGTGATGGCATCCAACACTTGCCTACCACCTGCTGTGTCCTGCTACCTATCCTAGACAGGGACCCCACTCATCCTGTATCCACCCTGGTCCCACAGCATTGCTTGGCTCCCTTACAACTCCTCCCATTCCCACCTCCCCCCACTGACTTCCCTAGCAGCTTCTTGCCCTCACCCGGCAACCTCGTGTTGTCCCACCATCACCCCATGCCCTCCATGGATCAAGTCATCATAAACGAATGGGAGAAGGTGCCCTGGCCGATTGGCCACTATCCATCAAGTGGTATAGTCTCACCAGGGCCTTCAGTATATCATTCAGTTTGCCCCAGGCCTGTTCACAGCCCTGCATGGGACCAAGACAACCAGAGGCACTGCCTAAGAATTTTTTCAAAGTTGTCATAAATATGAAATACTGAATAACAAGAGTCAGTAAGTGAAAAGTGGGTACATATAATTATAAAAAACACTTCACTGGTTTTGTTCCTCTAAAGAAACAAGACTAAGACACTATCATTATAATCATAGTCTATACACAAGACAACAGTAATTTCAAGGTAGAAGTACAGGAAAATCAGGTGAATTATTACATACCATTTGTGAAGTATCTAAAGAAATAATTGTTCTTGTCTCATCTGCAGGACACATCAGGCCACACGAAACACTTGTTCCTCCTGCCAAAATATAAAACAACCACTTAACACTTAAATATTTTATTTTTAGCTATATTTCTAAGGTAAACCACTAATACAGAGTACAGATATGCCTGCTAAGAAAGTGATACCTATTTCTACCTTGCAAAATATGAATTGCAAATGCTAACACACTAAAAGCAAACTCACCTTTATTTTATGCTGCGTGCCAAAATGAAGAAATACTATGGAGCTGAGAGCAGTGCGACATGACTCCATTCCCTGGGTATGGCACACTCAAGTGAAGCCCCTAGCAATTTGTGGAACTCCAAAAACATGATTAGAAAAGTTCTAAGCTAATGATTACTGCAAGAGGTAACTTAAAAGAAAAAATACCTATCCTTTAAAATACTAGAGACACCACTACCTCCTTTCTATTACCATTATGAGATTCCCTTATCATTTAAAATAGTATTTTATATTCCCATACCAAAAAGAGTTTAATAAATTAGAATATAAACAGGTTAGGATTGTCCAGATTATGCAGTATACAAAAATAAGTTTATATGTTCTCAGGTGAAAAAGATATTTTAATATAGAATAAATAATAAATACAAATATTTAAACAATGTACTGCTTGCTGATTCTCCCTGACACTGGTTGTCCAAAGAAAAATGCTTTTTTGGCACCAATAAAGAAAAACATAGAGCTCTCAGTTCTTCACCAGATATATGTAATTATGTATCAGAATAATTTCTTAAATGGTACTTCCATGCATTATGGACAGAAAACATGTGGAAGTCACAACTGTACATAGTAAGAATTATAGAGGATGCTGATCTACAGGGCTCAGCTTAATTTTACGAGGTGAAATCATGAGTTGTCAGTTAAGAACATGATGCCTACAATCAGGAACCACTATTTACTTGTCACTGTCATTTGAAATCAGAAAAAGATTCATAATAAAAAGTGCCATTGTGTGCCCCTCCCCCTGTCTCCCCATGAATTCAACAAGTAAAGCATTAACTGAAGAGGGAATCCAGAGTCTCTGGATTTGCTGGGGCCCCATTTCCATTCCATCAACGGCATTCAGTCAGTATTAGTAATTTCCTTTGGCTCATATAAGTTGGTAAAACATTGTGGTGGGTAAAAGATCCAAAGACATCATATTTGTCTTAAAATTCAAAAACAGCATTAGTTTTCTGTATTAACAGGCATTACTGCATTGGTCATTACTGAACTGGCTAATCTTTCACCTGTATAGCATTCCTTCTCAATATACTAGTTATATTTAGCCTTTGGAAAATAAAATTCTCTCCAAAACTACAAGTTCAAAAGTAATTACTAAATCAGAACTTGCTTTGTTGTTAAATTATAGCTTCAACTCTAATCCATATGGGAAAGCAGTCAGGATCTGATAGTTCCTCACATCTCCAACAGTTTAGCTGGCTTCATTTAAGAACAGTAATGAGCACCACAGATTTTAGAATAACCACATCCTAATTACAAAAATATTGTTTTAGTGAGATGACACAAGTTTACATCATATTAAAATTCAGAAGGTGCAATACCTACCACCAATTGGTATGATACAAAGGTTATGTTTGCATGCTAGATTCACAATCTTAACTACATCATCATGACATGCTGTTGAAAAAAAGGAAAATAAATTAATCAAAGGAATATGAATAATCCTGCAAGATAAGCACCTATAAAGTTCTTTAGTGTCTAAACTTTTTCCTCATTTATTTACTCATTAACACATTAAGTATATTAGAACAGGATATTATTTATTTTAAAAACTTTTATTTTGAAATAGCTTTAGATATAAATCAATAACCAAAATAAATATTTACATTATAAATACCCCAGAATCCCTAAACATCTAGTATCTTGTGGGGAGATCTTACAGAACTATAGTTCAATTATCAAAACCAGGCAATCAGTACTGACACAATACTATTATTGTGTACATACTTGAATTAACTAGTCTACATACTTGAATCAAATTTTGCCAATTGTCCCACTAATGTCTTCTTTTGTGGACGAGAGTCAAATCTAAGATCATACACTGCATTTAGTTATCATTCTTCCATACTCTTCTTTAATCTAAGGCAGTTCTTCAATCTATCTTTGATTCTCATGCCCTTGACACTTTTGAAAAGTACTGGCCAGTCATTTCATAGAACATCCCTCATTTCAGGTTTGCATACGATTTCTTCATGACTAAATTCAGGTCATACATTTTTGGTGAGAATTGTCTTTCTCAGTGCATTATATCCGGAGGCAAATGATGTGGACAATTTCTGATGATGTTAACTTTCATCACTTGGTTAGGGGTTGTCTGCTAGGTTTCTGAATTATGTTAAAATATTACACATAATGTATTGTACAGGAGCTCTGGTAGCATAGTGCCTAAGGCACTTGACTGCTAACCAGAAGGCTGGTGGTTCAAACCCACCAGCTACTCCTCGGAAGGAAGGTTGGGCAATCCTACTTCCGTAGTGATACTGCCTTGGAAACCCAAGGAGGGGTCTCTATGAGTCGGGGCTGACTTGATGGCAAATAACAATGTATTGTACATGAATTCTTTCCTATTGTAAATAACTAAAGAATACTCTTTATCAAAGAAAGAGTTTATACAAGTGACAAATATCTAATGGTAGAAGATTTTAAATGCTAAGAGGTTCTAAAACTCAATTTGACTGGTAATTGGACATTATTAGAGGTTTTGAAGGAAGGGACCAATATGGCAAAAGGGGTATCTTAAAAAGATTTTATCACCAACAGGAAACTTACATCAAAGTTAAATAAAAACCTCAGTGAATGGATAAGCTGTTGGAAAACAAATTATTTTCAAGAACTTAACACTGAAAGATTCAACAGAATAAAAGTATAAACTTGATGTAGTCAGCAATACACCATTCATATAGACGTCTGAGGTGTGGAACAAGACAGCAAAAAGAGTATTTTAGAAAAATTAACCTCAGTGGTATATGAGAGGGACAAGAAACTTGAGGCATGGTAACCTTTAACACTAGTGCAAAAATCTAGGCATGTATTGATAAGGGAAAATTAGGATTGGAGGGAAAAAAAACCAAAGGGCAATGTTGTGAAGGAACTAACCAAAGGATTTTATAAAGCAAAGAATCTTCTGTGCAATGACTAACTCCATCTGTTTCCCAAATCTGGATTTTTACAAACACTTGAATTTCTTAAAACAAGACATATATTCCCATCATAGTATGCTCTTAGCATTTTAATATTCAAACACATGAAGAAAATACACAGATGGCACACTTAAAAGTTCTATTCAAAATATATCAAAGAATGTTCTATTAGATTTTCTGTGAGGACTTAAAGTTGATAAATTTTGCTTTTATTTTTTCCAGTGAAAGATGGAATGAACTTTATCCTTAATCTTGGTAGAAGTAGCCTAAAGCTAATAAAAAGAAACAGGCAAAACAAAAGTATTTCTTCTATTTGAGGATATCTTTTTCTTTTATTTTTCCAGGAACATTTAAATATCTATACAAATTAAAATAGAAAGAAAACTTATTTCATCACTATTCCAAATACAAGGGGCTCTGGTGACATAGTGCCTAAGGCATATGACTGCTAATCAGATGGCTGCCGTTTCAAACCCCCCAGCCACTCCTCGGAAGGAAGACTGGGGAATCTACTTCCATAGGCATTCCACCTCAGAAACCCAAGGAGAGGTTGCTATGGATCGAAATGGATTCGATTCTAAAGCAGTGAGTTTGGTTTTTGGTTTATCCTGAATGCACAGAAGAATATACATCACAACTATCAAGAAAGTAATTTTATCTCTGTTACATATTCTCTTGGGTTTTCCTCCTGCTTATTTCATGTCCCACCTAGTCTAATATTAAAGTATGATTCTTTTCCTCAGATAGTCCCTGCAAAGTAGAAGAATCATATCTAAGAACTGAATGTATATGAATGAACCAATTTATTAAAAAATAAAATACTCTATGTATTCCTCCTATAGAGTCTAAAGAGAAAAAAGAGCCAGAAGATGATCAAGGAACTTTTGGACAAGACAATTGTGTACAGCAAAGAACCATATACTTGTTGTCTTTTAAACTGTCTGCTAAAAGAGATGAGTACAAAAACCATATATATATATTATATATATACATATATATAATATATATATATATATATATGAATGTGTATCTATATGTATGTGTATATATATGTGTGTATGTGTATATTCATATACATGTACATGTGTATGTGTATGTTTATGTTTGTATGTCTGGAGCTTAATCATCACCAAGAGTAAAATAACAATAGAAAGCTCATCCATTATCTATCCCAAGGCAAATCCCTGCATGAAATTAATTTCTCCAAATTTAATTATTCATTTCAGAGACAATGTGTGTGTGTGTATTTCAAAGACAATGTGTGTGTATATATATTATAAACAACTCACTTAGTCATTTGAACAGTATAATCTGTATCCTACAAGTCAATAAATTATTATTTTTAAAAATTTATTAGTTTGAAGTCATCAATTTAATAGTTTTTATACAACTGAATGTATCACTAATAGAAACTAATTTTGCGAAGCTTTCAAACTAACCAAAATACATCTTTCTAATGACATCCCAATAATATTATTTACATTCAAAGTAAAAACTGAATCATGAAAAATAAAATCAATCATTAACACCAACAATTCAGGATAATCAGATCTCTAAAAATATAGGTATCTTTATCTTTTACAATTTAAGTTTCCAATTTAAGATTTAATGATACTAAATTAATGATAGGAAAAAAAAAAAAAAAACTTACTTGGCCATAAAACTATATCAGGAATTCGCTGAAATATTCCTTCCCTGAGCATAAATATCTCATGAAGACAATGACCTGTTTCACAGTTTAAAAAAGAAAAATGCAGAAACATCTTAAATTATAGGAAATTTTCCAATTTAGAATTAATAGTACTCATAAAATAGCTTACCATGAGCTCTAAATACTCGATCATCTGCTTCTTGTGAATATGAAATATTAGTTTCTTTAAGGTCACGAAGAAAATCTTCATTTACAATAGAAGGAGGTGTATCACTAGGGTTTAAGGATGTCTAGAAAATAAAATTGGTTTCTTTAAGTTACTTCTAAAAATAAATTTTGACTATCTCTGAGTGAGAATGACTATAAAAAGTAGTATTATTCTGTTTTGAACATCCAAGTAAGGCAGAAGCACAGGAAAATACCAAATAATACATATGGAAATCAACTTTGTGAAGACACATTAACTATAACCAGCCTGATTCATCACCTGCTATAACATAAGATACTGAAGTCCTGATTTCTCTTCTGGTTCTATGGCCTGCCTTTTCATTGCATCATGACTGTCATGAAGAACAGGGGAAACAGTGAAGCTTCAAATTTTCAATTCTAAATTAAGGAGAGTGGAGGAAAGCCACTTGACTTTTGCATTATCCACATTTTACCTTTAGATAAAACTTAGCATTTCTTATATGTTGATTTCCATTTTAAAATACATCGAAAAGAAGTCTCACAACAACAAACCTACTTTATAGGGCTGCTTTAAAACTTACAACATAATTAAACTCAATTTCAACTAGTAAGCTGAAAAATAAATCCTCAACTTTAAAGTTAAATGTACACGACATGGGCAAGTCACCTAACTTCTATGAGCCTTAGCTTCTTCATCTGTTAAATGATTGTCACTACCAAATTTACAGGGCTACTGTAAGGAAGGTTGGTTAAGTTAAATATAGTAACTTTTGTGAAAAGTACCTAATATCATGCCTACCATATAGAAAGAGTTCTATAAATGGCTGGCCAAATCAAATCTGCTATGGAAAAAAAAAAGCTATGGCATAATATTCAGAAAAAAAATATAAGAATATTTAACGAAAAATATGATACTTGTTTATTTTCTTAGTCTCATATTAAGTCTCTTAAAAAGGGGAGAAAGAGATAAAGAACTAAAAAGATGAGAAAAGAGACCTTTTTCAAAAAAATTAAAAGAATTTGGTTTAGTAGCCTAATGTAACTGCAATAAAATAACTATGAATTTATAAATAAATCTAACAAGTACTCACTGAATATCTACAGTTTCTCACATTAGATACTATCGAGAAGACAGTGTAAAACATTGTCTTACACATAGGGAACTTATATTCAGTTAAGAGGGTCATGCAGAATACATGCTATGGCAAAATGATAATATAAAGAAATGCTATATATTTTATTTGATATAGAGAGTTTAATGTTTTCTAATCTTACAAAAAAGTGAAACTGTATGAACAAACTAAAAGTTTCTATCACTCATATCATAATTTTTACTTTTTTGTAATTCTGCATATATTCTAACTCTCCTAATTGAAAAAAAAAAAAAAAAAAACAGGGTCCCCATGAGGTAGAGGTGGAGGCCAACCCAACTGCAACGAATACCACTACCCGTTATACCACATGCCCACTATGCATGGATATCACAGCTGGCTCAGGCACTCACACATGGCAAAGTGCCCTAGTATTAAATGTGGTATTATTCCATACTAACTCTAGATTATTATTAGTCTATTAAACAGTCTAAAAATAACAGCAACTTACATTTTTTTTTTAGCAAAGAACCCACACAATTGACTAATTTGAACTTCACTATTACCCTGTGAGAGGAAGAACAGGCAGTTATTACTCCCACTTCTCAAATTTGGATAACGAGGCTCAGAAAGATAAATAATTTGCCAGATAAATCTCTCATAAATTCTAAGACTGGCATCTAGATCTGAGACTCAAAATAAACTGCTCCTAGAGAACCTTACAAAGTCAATATAACTGGTAGCCTTCTTTAAAAAAAAAACATGGTAAATGCATTGAAGTAACTAACAAACTAAAAGATAAATCTAATTGCCTAAACATACTTGGGGATTTTTTAAAAAGATAGTTAAGCATGTTACTAATCATTCTTATTTGCTTACTTTAGAGGTAGTTTTATGCTCCACACTTACTCCAAGGATATTTTGGATCCAATCTTTAAAAGTTGGTAAGATCATGCCACTAAGAGGGTATCTGAGATATAAAGAAGGTAAAATGTTAGAGAAAGGTATCTTCATTTAAATTTAAAGTTTAGATTTTGCTTCCATTAATGGTTAAGAGAGACTATTACTCTTTATAAATAATATTTAAAAATTACTGTAGCCATATTAAGCAAGTTTTTTTCACTATAATGTTTTGGCTCTAATCTGGTTCTTCCATTGCCACTACTCCAATTGAGATCATTTTTCTATAATTCTTTATGAATGATATTTAGAAAATCATGGTTGCCATATTCAACAGTTTGTTTTCACTATAATGTTCTTGAATCTTCTCTATTTCCACCTCCCCCAAAATTGATGATGGGATAGCCAAGTAAGAATACTACATTATAGCTGGTTTACTTTTGATTTTGTAAATATCTTATTTATAAAATATTAAAGTATAACATACATACAAATACAAGGGCAAATAGTAAGTACACAGGATTTTTTACAAAGTAAACCTCCCTTGTAAACAGCATTCTGATCAAGAAACAGAGCATCACCAGTACCCCCAAAAGCTCCCTTTATGTCCCTTTCTAGGCCTTACTACCTTCATACGCAGCAAAAGAACTACCATCTGACTTTTAATATTACAGGTTAGTTTGGACTGTTTTGTACTTTAAATGAAACAGTAAATGTATTTGTGTGCCTCCTTTTGCTCAATATTAGGTTTGTGAAATTCATTTATGCTGTTACATGTACTTGCAGCTCATTTTTTTCCATGGCTGAATACCATCTATGACTGTATTACAATTTCTTTCTCCACTGCATCACTGACAAACAACTAAAGTGTTTACAGTTTCTTAAATTTGTTTTTGGAGAACATATCATATACATACATTTCTGTTTGGTCTATAACTAGAATAGAATTTCTAGGCCACAAGCTATGCATCTGTTTAGCTTTAGTTGAAGTTGCTAAACAGTTTTCCAAATGTTTACCACAAGCAATGTATGAGAATTGTACATGTTTCACATCCTCCCCATACTTGGTGTTGTAGTTCCTTTTAATTTTAGACATTCTAATAATGTTTCATTATGGTTTTAAATTCAATTTCACTATTACCTATGGGATTGAGCATCAATACACAAGTCTTATATTTTAGAAGCTCTAGTGGCATAGTGATTAAAGTATTTGGCTGCCAACCAATCGTTCAACAGTTCAAACCTACCAGCTGCTCTGTGGAAGAAAGATGAGGCAGTCGGCTTCCATAAGGATTTACCGCCATGGATGAATTCCACTATTACCTATAAGATTGAGTATCAATTCCTATGTCTTTGATGAAGAGAAGTTCCATATTTTAATGTTGTCTAATTGGTTTTTTTTTTTTAGAGTTAATGCTTTCTGTACTATGCTTTTTGCCTACCTCGAATTCAGATAGACATTCTATATATTCTTGCAGCAGTTTTATAGCTTTAGCCTATACATTTAGTCTGTAATCCCTCTGGAATTAATCTGTGTATAAAGCATTAGGTAAGGTCAAAATTAATTTTTTTCCAAGATGATAGCTTACATTTTCCCATAGCTGTTTTGTTTTATGTATATGTATACTGAAGTGGAAGAAAGATCTTTCCAAGATAAGAAAAAATTAAACCAATATTGAAAACAGACTAATATTAATGTTTTAGCAAGCTATTTATATGCTCAAAAAGCTATTTTAAATGTTCAAAGTGGAATACTTTTGTTCAAGATTATTTCCCATGCATTGCATCAGAGCTTGAGTAAAAGCTTTGCAAAAGCTTTTAGCATCCATCTAACCTAAAAAAAATTACTTTGATTTTAGAAAAATGTCAAAAAAAAAAAAAAAACCCAAAGCAGTAGATGATATGTATACTCTGACACAAAGTTAAGTATGTTTATACCACTCAGAATTCAATGTTAAAGGATAGATCCAATCTTTAACAGATTGCACTCATTTTTGTCATACAATTTTAAGTTTTATAACACAAGCATGGGCTCTGAGCAGATGTTAACTTCCATTAACTTCACATTACATAACAAAAATGCCATCCATCTGATAGAGCCTGATGGAACCACTGAGACTACAACCCCTGGCAGCCTTTCAGGTAAGGAACTGAACCTACTCCTGTGGCTTCCAGCCAAACAAAAGACAGGCATATGAGCTGAATATTTACATTAGGTAGATACCTTGGAGAGATCAATCATAAGAGAATAGAAGGGCTGCTTATGCACAGAGAGACAGCTGAAGGGGGAAGTGATGGAGGGAAGGACACAGGGAACAGGTAACTATCAGGAGGAAGTGGGAGGAGAGCTGTTGCATTGTGGTAAATTGTAGTCAATGTCATGAGACAAAGTGTGTGTGAGCTGCTGTACGGAAAGTGAATTTGCTCTGTAAACTTTCACCTATATCACAACTTAAAAAAAAAAAAAGCCATCCAATATTCTCAAACCAATCTTTACATCTTCCAGTAAAAGAAAAATGGTAAATGGAAGGAAAAAAAGAAGAAAAAGAAATATGTTTTAATCAAAGCAGTTCATTTTTAAAGTTTAAAAAACACAAGCCTTAATCAAACTGAAATGGTGTGCTTGATTTTGTGTTAAATAACTTTTTCATAAGCCAAAGGAAATTGGAATGAAAGAAAGTATAGGGCACATAGCTACAACAACCAATGACAGACATTCAGCACATGACACTCCTCATTTTAGCTGAGACTAAAGCATAAATTCTGGGTACTAACATTTGCTACTATGTGTTAGAAACGCCTTTTAAAAAAGACCAATTTGGAACTATTAGGTTTTAATGCTAGGCCTTTAAATTTTAACTATACAATTACTTTGAATCTCTTTAAAATACAGTAGACTCTTGATATTCATGACAGAATCATCCTGAGACCTTTGTGAATTCCTTAATTCACAAATAACATTATTTCCCTCCATAAAATAAAAAAGTGAACACCTTTAAGATACTTAAAACTATATAGATACAAGGTTAGTGTTACACTCATATAAAATTTAAAAATAAATTCTACCAGTAAAATAAACTCATTATGACACCACCTCTGGATCTATAATATCAGACTCTGAAGAAATATCTTGCTTGGCAGAACCTTGGATTTAAGACTTTGCTCCAGTATCTACAATTCCAGCATTTAAACTTACAGTTTAAAAAAAGATCCTTTTCACAATGTAAGTTTTTAAATTGTACTTTCTCTTGCCTCTAATTACTTGAGATTTGCAAAATAGTAAAGGAAGTGAGAATTAATAATCACAAAGCCCATAAAATGATATCATGTAGAAACCTTGCAGTCAAAGAAGTAAGTAGATAAAAAGAAACAATATGAAAAAAAGTTAAAGGAATTAAACTGATTAAACTTAAGAAACAGGTATGGGATGACTTGCTTACCCAACCCACCCACTACCACTGAGTTGACTGAAACTCATAGCGCCCCAATAGGACAGAGTAGAACTTACCTACAACAGAAGCAGACTGCCTCATCTTTCTCCCAGTTTGAACTGGTGGGTTTGAACTGCTGACCTTATGGTTAGCAGCTGAATGCTTTAACCATTATGCCACCAGAACTCCTTGACTTCATTACTACTGTGAAATAATTCAGATTTACATCCAGGTATATAAACAAACATTTATTTAATACCTACAAGACTGCACTAAAAAAAGGCATTATATCATGACCCCTTTTCCTAAGGAATTTACAACCTAGCTTGATCAAAGATGTAAAGACATTTAACCTGTGAGGTGAACATGTGGCCAGGAAACATGTAACTTTTATCAGAAATGTGAGAAGGGGAAAGCAAAAAGCCTATACCAACAGCTGAAACAGTATGACTACTGAATGGATCTTTATCATGAATGAAGATCAGCTGAAGAACTTTAAGAAGTGTTTTTGTTGTAAAACATCATAAAGTGAGATCAATTTACCACTTTTCCTTCAGGACTAAAGTAGACAATTTAAGATTATAAATTATAAGATTATAATAGAACCAGAACAAGTTTTTAAGACCAATAAAATCAGTCTATCTGGAAAGACAAAAACCTGTGAACATAAACATCCAAGACAGCAGTACACATTGGGACTCACAGAGATTAAAGACAAAGTGACTGATTCTACTACGTGGCAGTGTACAGAGAGGCAGCAAATAACTGCTAACCAATTTAATAGCTTTTTTGTAGTCAGACAAAACTTTAAAGAAAAAATATGCTACTGAAAATACAAAGTGTAACAAACAAATTTTGTCTATATAACTTACACTGTGTAAGCACCAAATAATGTATGACACCTTTAAAGTCACAGAATGACAGTTTTCAAAATTTTTAGTTTATAGAAATCAACAGCATTAGCTCTCAAGTATTCCCTTACATTGCTTAAACCCAGGCAGACACACTTCATCAATACCTAGAAGGAATAAGAGTAGCAAGATTATAAACCTAAGGATTTATAAACTGACAAATTACAAACTTGCTCAGAAGACAGCATGTGTTCAGGAAAAAAAAAGAAAAAAAAGATCTACTTTTTCCCTCACACATATATACCAGATTAGACTAATTGTTTCTAACTTAATGGCTGGGTTGAAAATGTCAAAAGTCTTCTCCCAAAAGTATATACAATCAACTACATTTGCTTATGAAAATCTCTCAGCTTTTCAATATTCTTTGGATCAGAAATAGGGATCAGTCCATAAATTTTCACCGAGTCACTCTTAGTTGCTGGCACCTAAGGATTTCCGTCTTTCTTTCTAGCTGTTATATTTCTTTATTGCAGTATTTTATCCATCATTATCTATGTGTTTATAGAGCACAAAGAGTCTGTATTTGCTCAGTCCACACTGCCAGAATTCAAAGCTTGTACAAAGAATTTCAAAAACTGTCCTCAGAATCTAATATTATTAATATATGAGCTGGGTGAATTAATACTGTTCAGCCAAATCCGTATTTTCTTGTACTCATCCTTTGCAGCCACAAATTCCATTTTTCTCTTTTAGGAATAATATCCCAATATTCCTATGCTTCTAACTTT